AGAGAAACGAGAACGAGAAGAACGAGACAGAGAAAAAGAAGAGAGAAAGAGAAGAGAAACGAGAAAGAGAAGAGCGAGAAAGAGAAGAGAGACGAGAGAGGGAAGAACGAGAAAGAGAGAGAGAAGAACGAGACAGGCAAGAACGACAGGACAAAGAGGAAAGAGAGAGACAACATGAACTAGAAGTTTTGCGATTAGGTGGTGGTCGGAGGCAAACAACGGACACCAGTAGCTTCGATCCGGTACGCAACATCAAAATGGTCCCCAAATTCCATGAGAAGGAAGTGTCAAAATTCTTTGCAGCCTTCGAGAAAGTCGCTGCCTCTTTGGAGTGGCCAAGGGAGAATTGGGCCATCATGATACAGTCAGTCTTGACTGGGAAGGCCCAAATCGCCTACTCTACGTTATCCCTTGACGACTCCAGCGACTACGACAAGGTGAAGAAAGTGGTGCTCATGGCGTACCAATTGGTACCTGAGGCATATAGGCAAAAGTTCAGAAACCTGAAGAAGACCTCGGAGCACACTTTCACCGAATTCGCCACCATCAAGGAGCGACTTTTTCAAGAATGGTGTGCCTCTCGGAAGGTGGAGACCAAGGAAGACCTCGAACAGCTGATTCTGCTCGAGGACTTCAAGGATTGTTTATCTGGAGACCTCAAGACGCACTTAGAGGAACAGCAGGTAGAGACCTTGAGTGCAGCAGCCACCATGGCTGAAGAGTACATCCTGACTCATAGGCCGTCTGCTAAGTACGTCCCGAGGAATTACCAGCGCCGGTTTGACAGACCTCACGACGAAGAAGAAGAAAGACCCGTCCCACGAAGTGCTAAGAAGACGCCCCCAAGTAGCCCTCGAAGAACAAGTCCTAGTAGTCCGAAACACCGTAGTCCGAGGAGGAACATGGTGTGCTGGACTTGTGGGCAGAAGGGGCACATAGCTGCTAGGTGCCGAGGCAGAAGAGGTGGCAGCGCACGAAGGGAGGTGATGTTGATGAGCTGTGTTACACCACCAGCAGGAAACCAGTCTACGATGACGCAGGAAGGACCAAGTTTGTTTGCCCCTCACACTTCATGCGGGTATGTAACGAGTGATCATACTGGTAGATCAGTTGTAGTGCTCAGAGATAGTGGAGCAGCCCAGTCCCTGATCGTGAAGAGCTCGTTACCCGAGGGAGTAAGTGTGGACGGGAAACGACAGGTTGTCCTGGTTGGGTTTCCGAGAACGCAGTACATCGCCCCCTTAGTGCCAGTACATCTCGACTCGCCTTATTTCAGCGGCACATGTGCGTTGGCAGTAGTCGATACCCTCCCTGTGGCTGGGATTGACGTGGTACTAGCCCACGACTTGGTGACCGATTGGAGCACCAATCATCCCAAGGTTGTGGACGAGTCTACCAGAACAGCACGGTCTGAGGTAACAGGCAATGGTAATGTCCAAGTAAAGACAGACCCGGATGTAACTGTTTAATTTGTCCTCTCGCCTACAGATTGAGATCGACAGTTATCTAGCAGTGTCTCCTGATTCTTCTCTTGACAAGGAACATGAGGTTACAATGGCAGAAGTACCTGAACTAGAAGAGAGGCCTTGTGTGCAGACACCCACGGATACCAACGAGTCTGGAGCGAAGGCTGAGGTGTGCTTGCGGTATGGCAAGTTGCAGCGTGTTGTGGACCAGCCAGAGATTCCCCAGACGTCAGAGGTATGTGAGGTGTGTTCAAAAGGTCTAGTGCCCTCTTTGGTCCAAGCCAGGCTAGTGGATGGTGCCGGCTATGGACATGACAAGCTCAGGAAACTTATCCCTCAATTGGCCCCATGTTTCTTACCAGTATTTTGTTTTGTTCTCCTATGTGCTCTCTGTGTTCTCAGTAAGGATCAGTGGACGACCCGAAGGATGATGGCTCCCGTGAACATCGAGAAGAGGTCCCTGGGATTAGAGATTTGCACTGCAAGTGTTGCAGTTGAAGAAGGGACCTGGGAGGTAATAGATGATACAGGAGGTACGATATGTGATAATGTGAGTGACTGTTTCCGACAGGTTGACACCCCCCGCGTGACTGCTGAGCCTCAACACAGCGTTATACGGAACGTTGGTCGACCTGACGGGGGCAGAGCGAATGCCATCTTCGGTGAGCAAGCAGCCCTGTTGGAACTAGGTGTGGGCCTAGTAGAGGAGTGTATAGTAAGTACTGACTTGCCCATTGTCGCTATCACTCTGAATTATCAGACCCCTGTATTCCAGGTTCCTGTCTCCCTGAAGGACCATCGGACCGGTACCAGAAATGCCGTCTGTGATCAGCCGTCATCGGTGCCTCGACGCAGAGAAGTGTCGAGTCACCCCAGATCGTGTCTACACGGATCCTTACTAGAGAGGTGTGAAATGATGCCCCTGCTTGACATCGCAGTGGAGATGTGGGAGACGTGGAAGATTACGTCAGGCAGATCATTGCCTTCTATCTGCAAGTTCCCGTTGTGCCGGAAATGGCTAGTAGAAAAGTTCTGTGGACAAGACAGCCTCATCACTCCAGTTCATAGTATAAGTAAGTCCATTTGGAGTTGTGTCGCCCTGCTAATTTGGTTTGTGTTTTTTATAGAACCCCAAACCAAATTCTTTTTGGTGGGGAGGTGTTACGAACCCGGATCCAGCGTCCAGGCCGGGAGCAGTGACAAACACGCCATCTGTGGGTCAGCTCCCGAAACCCCCTCCAAGCGAACGACGACACCTAGTGAGGACAGCGTGTACTGGCCTCGAGGACCAGTTTCTAGTCTGGTTCAGCGCTCAACACCACCGCTCCTGACCTCTGGTGAGGTGGTGCTCCGACGACAGCGCCATCTATGGAGTGGATATGGCGGGCGTTTGTATCTGAGCCTGTGAGTGTGGTGTATTAGTGTCCCAGTTATTGATGACGTGTCTGCTTACAGAGCCGACCTGGGACCACTGTGTTGAAGGTGGAGTCAGTCTACCCGAGGCAGCCAGTCTCCATACTGTGAAGTTTGCTGCAGCTGTCGTGACGTCGTCCCCCCGGAAGAACACTGTGGTGTGTTAAGCCTGCCAGTGGAGTGGCAGTGGAAGGATTTACCCGGGACCGACGGTTGGAGACGATAATCCACTGGGGTATTGAGGACAGGAGGGTGATTGGTGATATCACACGAGACTCCTGTCTAGGGCGTACCCCTTATATCGTTCGTGGAGTGGCCGTACCAGCCTTGGTGGCTCAGTACCTGCCAGCAGATCTGCTGGACGTGTGGTTGACGGCCTCCACGACGGTGCCCCCAGTGGACCTGTGTTGTGGCTGACCTGTGGCCAGGGTAGACTCGGCGTTCTCAGAGGACACGTCTTGAGGCCACGAAGGAAGCACCGCGGACTCGGCACCTAGCTTCGAGGATCCATAGTCTCCAGCAGAAGACTACAGTGTTGATCCCCTTTGTAAAGTGTTAATGCCCCTCCCCCTTGTGTACGTTTTACTTTTACATATTTAAATGGTGATGGTGTTAATTATAATATTAAGTTCTTAACTTTCTTTCCCTACTCCCTTTTAAGTTACTTGCGTCACGGATCGCATCCCTTGAAAGCCTCTACTGGCTTGGGGTCGGATATATATATCTTCCTCTAATAACATCAGAGTAAGAACCCCATTGCGTCCCGAGAGGGCCGTAACAGTAAGACACAGGGAAAGAGTGCCAGACATGAAGCAGTCAATGACATCATCAAGAGAAGTTTGGTCACAGCTGGGTGTCCAGCACAAAGGGAACCTCAGTTGCGCAGACCTGACAAGTCACAAACGTCCAGATGGAGTCACCCTGCAACCATGGAGGGAAGGTAAACAGGTCGTATGGGACTACACCTGTGCATCTACATTGGCTGATACCTTACAGCACAGCTGAGGGAGGCGGGGCGGCCAGCTTCAGGGAGACCCAGAAAACCAACAAGTACAGGGACCTAGAATGTTGTTACAGGTTCTTGCCGATAGGCTCTGAGACTCTGGGCGCCTGGGGTAAATGTGCACTTAAGTTCCTAAAGGTTAGGTGGGTGAGGAACTCATTAGGAAAACTAAAGACTCAAGAGCGGCCAGTTTTCTGTTCCAGCGCCTCAGTGTCGTGATCCAGAGAGGAAATGCGTGACTCGAACGTGTGTGAGGTCACTGATGGTCGAGTGGATTAAGGTACCGTGACACCAGTTGCAATGTGCTCCTGGAGGTCCGGGTTCGAGTCACTTCTGGGGGTGTGGGGTTTTCATTTGCATATATACTTGGGGACCATTCCAGCTTGTTCGCATATATATATATATATATATATATATATATATATATATATATATATATATATATATATATATATATATATATATATATATATATATATATATATATATATATATATATATATATATATATATATATATATCATTGATGTTATGTACAAATTGATAATAAACTAGAATTTCGATTTAATCAGTGTTTGATCGACAGATAAAAATCAAATATCATTAAGGTATGAAAATGAATATTGCATAATGAATTGAAAATTTGCACAGCATTGGTTGAGGTTGCTGGAGCTGCCTTATACATGAAACAACAGAGCGGATACATACTAATTTAGATTAATATTTTGGCAATAAATCATACATTTTTATGATTATTCGTTGGTATGTACATAAGATTCATGAAGGATGAATGAGATAGTGAGAGCTTCAGGAGCTAATGAGTGTGTGTGTACGTTAGTCTCTTCAATGGAAATAATAACAGCTGATTCTGCTAGCAGACACTACCAAGTAATAACCCATATTTACAAACGTTTTAATATAATACCGACCTACTTAAAACTAAAATATGTTTCACGTAGTCTAGAAATTCGCTAAAAAAAAACCACATACATGTTATGTATTATATCATATCTTTGTTGAGGCAAGAGTGATTTGTTTACTAGATCGTGCGTTTGGCAGCGGCGTGATGCGTAGGGACGGGAGATGGTGTACGAGACGTCAGGGCGCAGAAGCAACAGTCTCCCGCTAGTCACTGGTGAGGACGGATGTAGGCTCCTCTCTACCAACTCCATTTGATTACACACTATTTACACCCCTGTATAAAGAAGGAGGTACGTAGATCAGCTGCATCTTGTCTTCAACACTTGGACCAATATCCCGACATCTGATGACAACCCCGCTAGAGGGAGAAGTGCCATCGCGCGAACAAGGGTGTAGTTAACAAGTGGTTCCACATCGTTTGTGTGGGTACACGCCCAATTCCTGGGTGCCAGGAGTGCCATAATACACTCGTATGGCACCCTGGGTCCACCTGAGGCACTTGGAGTGTGGCGGGGACTGAGGCACTCACAAGTGATCTCCACAAAATCAATAGTTACGGAGACAAGAGAGGTATATGGGCGCTTATGGCCATGCAGAGCTATGTATAGAGCCTCTCACTGTATAGAGCCTCTCACTGTATAGAGCCTCTCACTGTATAGAGCCTCTCACTGTATAGAGCCTCTCAGTGTATAGAGCCTCTCACTGTATAGAGCCTCTCAGTGTATACTGTCCCTCAGTATATAGAGCCTCTCACTGTATAGAGCCACTCACTGTATAGAGCCTCTCAGTGTATAGAGCCTCTCAGTGTATAGAGCCTCTCAGTGTATAGTGTCCCTCAGTATATAGAGCAACTCACTGTATAGAGCCTCCAACTGTATAGTGCCTCTCAGTGTATAGAGCATCTTAGTGTATAGAGCTTCTCACGGTATAGAGCCTCTCACTGTATAGAGCCTCCAACTGTATAGTGCCTCTCAGTGTATAGAGCATCTTAGTGTATAGAGCCTCTCATGGTATAGAGCCTCTCAATGTATAGTGCCTCTCACTGTATAGTGCCTCTCAGTGTATAGAGCCTCTCACTGTATAGAGCCTTTCAGTGTATGGAGCCTCTCACTGTATAGTGCCTCTCACTGTATAGAGCCTCTCACTGTATAGAGCCTTTCAGTGTATGGAGCCTCTCACTGTATAGTGACTCTCAGTGTATAGAGCCTCTCAGTGTATAGAGCCTTTCAGTGTATAGAGCCTCTCACTGTATAGAGCCTTTCAGTGTATAGAGCCTCTCAGTGTATAGAGCCTTTCAGTATATAGAACCTCTCAGTGTAGAGCCTTTCAGTATATAGAGCCTCTCAGTGTATAGAGCCTTTCAGTGTGTATAGAGCCTCTCAGTGTATAGAGCCTTTCAGTGTATAGAGCCTTTCAATATATAGAGCCTCTCAGTGCATAGAGCCTTTCAGTATATAGAGCCTCAGTGTATAGAGCCTTTCGGTATATAGAACCTCTCAGTGTATAGAGCCTCTCAGTGTATAGAGCCTCTCATATAGAGCCTCCCAGTGTATAGAGCGTCTCAGTGTATAGTGCCTCTCAGTGTATAGAGCATAGAGCCTCTCATATAGAGCCTCTCAGCGTATAGAGCCTCTCAGGGTATAGAGCCTCTCAGTATATAGAGCTTCTCAGTATATAGAGCCTCTCAGTATATAGAGCCTCCCAGTATATAGGGCCCTCTATATATAGAGCCTCCCAGTATATAGAGCCTATATATAGAGCCTCTCTCTATATAGTGCCTCCCAGTATATAGAGCTTCTCAGTATATAGAGCCTCTCTCTATATAGTGCCTCCCAGTATATAGAGCTTCTCAGTATATAGAGCCTCTCAGAGTATAGAGCCTCCCAGTATATAGAGCCTCCCAGTATATGGAGCTTCTCAATATATAGAGCCTCCCAGTATATAGAGCCTCCTAGTATATAGAGCCTCCCAGTATAGAGCCTCCCAGTATATAGAGCTTCTCAATATATAGAGCCTCCCAGTATATAGAGCTTCTCAATATATAGAGCCTCCCAGTATATAGAGCTCAATATAGAGCCTCAGTATATAGAGCTCAATATAGAGCCTCAGTATATAGAGCTTCTCAAATATAGAGCCTCCCAGTATATAGAGCCTCCCAGTATATAGAGCTTCTCAATATATAGAGCCTTCCAGTATATAGAGCCTATCAATATATAGAGCCTCCCAGTATATAGAGCTTCTCAATATATAGAGCCTTCCAGTATGTAGAGCCTATCAATATATAGAGCCTCCCAGTATATAGAACCTCCCAGTATATAGAGCCTCCCAGTATAGCCTCTCAATATATAGACCCTCCCAGTATATAGAGCTCAATATATAGAGCCTCCCAGTATAGCCTCTCAATATATAGAGCCTCCCAGTATATAGAGCTCAATATATAGTGCCTCCTAGTATAGAACTTCTCAATATATAGAACCTCGCAATATATAGAGCCTCTCAGTATATAGAGCATCTCAGTACATAGAACCTCTCAATATATAGAGCCTCTCAATATATAGGGCCTCTCATTATATAGAACCTCCCAGTATATAGAGCCTCCCAGTATAGAGCCTCCCAGTATAGAGCCTCCCAGTATATAGAACTTCTCAATATATAGAGCCTCCCAGTATATAGAGCTTCTCAATATATAGAGCCTCCTAGTATATAGAGCTTCTCAATATATAGAGCCTCTCAGTACATAGAACCTCTCAATGTATAGAGGCTCTCAATATATTGATCCTCTCAATATATAGTCTATCAATATATAGAGCCTCTCAATATATAGTCTCAACATATAGAGCCTCAATATATAGAGCCTCTGAATATAGAGGAGTACCACACCTCTGGTGCCGGTGTAGGCACCTGTGGTCTCGGAGAAGAAAATACATTTATTACACAATTCTTATCTGTACAAAATGAATAATTTTCATTTATTTTGTACAGAAAATTAATTTCTCTTAAAAAAAAATTCATATAAGAGAAAACACTTTAAACGTAATATATTCCTTTGGAAGTGATCTTGACTTGTTTATGTTGATTGGAAAGTTGAGAGGCGGGACCCAAGAGCCGCAGCTCAACTCTGGCTAGCTACGTCAGCCTGGGGGCGGCAGCGTCTAACAGTCTGGTTGATCAGATCACCAACCCCACTAGGCCTGGTGGAGACCGGGCCAAGGAGATGTTGATCCACGGAATTCGATCTAGGTAACTTTCACGTATATAGGAATTTTTTTATTTTTTTTTTAAATATGCTAGATTCGAAAACAAATACATCTCTCGTTCTCTCTCGTACACACACACACAGATATGTGTGCATATTACAGATAAGAGATATTAAGAGATAAAAGAGATATTAGAAAGAACTTTTTTAGTGTCAGAGTGGTTAACAGATGGAATGCATTAGGAAGTGATGTGGTGGAGGCTGACTCCATACACAGTTTCTAGTGAGTGCGCAAACACAACTAGGTGAGTACACACACACACGCACACACACACACACACACACACACACACACACACACACACACCACACACACACACACACACACACACACACACACAAATGGTCATGAGAGATATTATTGTACAAGCAGATAAAGATAAATCACGACTGTTGATACTGGGGGACTTCAACTTTAGAGCAATAGACTGGGAGGCCTATGAAGCAAGAACGGAGGACTTTTGGACATGCAGATTTGTGAACCTCATTCTGGAGACATTCTTGTATCAACACATAAAGCAAGCTACAAGAATGAGGGAAGGAGATATACCGTCAGTACTGGATCTAGTATTCACCAGGAAAGAAGAAGAGATTTTTGACATCCAGTACCTTCCTCCCTTGGGAAAGAGTGATCACGTCCTGTTAGACATTAAATATGCTTTAAGATATCATCTAGAAGAAAATGGGGACATTGAAACAGTTGATAAACTCGATTTAAGGAGTGGCAACTATGGGGAACTTCGAAATTTTTTTAATGAGTGTAATTGGACAGAATTGTTGCTAGGCAGGGAAGTAAATGAAATGTATGCCAAATTTTTAAAACTATACGAGGAAGGCACACAAACATTCATACCAAAACAGAGATGCAGGGCCAGAAAACAGGATTGGTTCGACAGAAATTGTGAGAGGGCAAGAGACCAAAAGACACAAAAATGGAATCAGTATAGGAAGAGGCCAAACCCCCAAACATACCAGCGATACAAAGATGCGAGAAACAACTATACAGCAGTAAGGAGAGAGGCAGAAAGAAATTTTGAAAAAGGGATAGCAGATAAATGTAAAACAGAACCGGGCTTATTCTACAAATTCATAAACAACAAATTGCAGGTAAAGGATAATATCCAGAGGTTGAAAATGGGAAACAGATTCACGGAAAATGAAAAGGAAATGTTTGAAACATTAAATGAAAAGTTCCAAAGTGTGTTTGTACAAAATGAAATCTTCAGAGAACCAGACACAATAAAAATTCCAGAGAACAACATAGAGCACATAGAGTTGTCTAGAGATGAAGTGGAAAATATGCTAAAGGAGCTCGGGAAGAACAAAGCAGCTGGCCCAGATGGCGTTTCACCATGGGTTCTGAGAGAATGTGCATCTGAGTTCAGCATTCCACTTCACCTGATCTTTCAGGCATCCCTGTGTACAGGAATCGTAGCAGACGTGTGGAAACAGGCTAACATAGTTCCAATCTACAAAAGTGGCAGCAGGGAAGACCCCCTCAATTATAGACCTGTATCATTGACAAGTGTAATAGTGAAAGTATTGGAAAAGCTAATCAAAACTAAATGGGTAGAACACCTGGAGAGAAATGATATAATATCAGACAGACAGTATGGTTTTCGATCTGGAAGATCCTGTGTATCGAATTTACTCAGTTTCTATGATCGAGCCACAGAGATATTACAGGAAAGAGATGGTTGGGTTGACTGCATCTATCTGGACCTAAAAAAGGCTTTCGACAGAGTTCCACATAAGAGGTTGTTCTGGAAACTGGAAAATATTGGAGGGGTGACAGGTAAGCTTCTAACATGGATGATAAATTTTCTGACTGATAGAAAAATGAGGGCAGTAATCACAGGCAATGTATCGGAATGGAGAAATGTCACAAGTGGAGTACCACAGGGTTCAGTTCTTGCACCAGTGATGTTTATTGTCTACATAAATGATCTTCCAGTTGGTATACAGAATTATATGAACATGTTTGCTGATGATGCTAAGATAATAGGAAGGATAAGAAATTTAGATGACTGTCAT